GTTCCCGGAGTACAGCCCGGCCTCAGCAGCCCCCACCGTCGCCCAGCATCTGCTGCCCTGCCCGCCTCTGCTTCGCGGTCGGCTCACGCCTGCCCAGCCCTCGGTGTGCCCCTCCCAAGGCCTCGGTCATCCGCACTGAATTCCCTGGGATGTGGAATCATGCCACGCAGCACTTAGGGTGTCATGGAGCATTGGGGAGTCAAACATTTGAGCTCTTCCTAGACTGGGGGGCGGGAAGGAAAGCCACTTCCCTGGTAGATGTCCTTGAAATACTCATTATTTTGTTTTGGTGGCTGTTTAGAGTTTTGCAAGGCAAAAAGGAGAGTTTATATTTACTTTTTAGCATTATGCACTTACTTGTTGTGTCATAAACTCATTGAAGAGGTTACGTATACCAGGCATCGCCGAGGAGGAAAGACTGGAGGGTGAGGGAATGGGCGGCGTGTGCCTGTGGCAGAAGGCACAGGAAGCCAGCGTGTCCCGGCACAGAGCTCAGGGCCGGCTCTTCGTGGAGCGCCTGGAGAAGCAGGTGCCGGCGCGAGGATTTCCACCTCCTGGGTCCCGGCTGGGAGGGCCCGTGTGCAGCTCCGGTCAGTCACTGACATCCTCTGTCTCCAGGCAGAGCTCTAAGAGCACTTATGTACCTCCATGCGGCAGTGTTTTTAAACCAGAATTAGGGGAAAATAGCATTTGTAAGCCACAGGCCCCAGGAGTCCCTGCGAGTGGCCACCATTGTTCCCTGGAAGCTGGTGCAGGAGGGTGAGTCAGGGTGTGGCAAGGAGCAAGGACACAGGAGCACACCGTCGGTCCCCTCCACACACTCACGGGGCTGCCGCTCTCGTCGAGTACATTTTAGATGGTCTTAAAATACTGTGTGCTGCTGAAGTTCAAACAAATGCAAAACAAGTTCTTCGTGAATATCTGCTTGAATTATTACATGTCACTCTGCAGTACATTCCACATACAGTCTGTTTTCATTTTTTTTTACTTTTTTATATTGACAGAAAAATTACGCTTGCCACATGCAACATGGTTTGAAACAGATATTGTACAATGACTGAACACTTCAGCTAATTAACATCAGTGTCGCCTCACATAGTTAAAATCTTTATAGTAAGAACATTTTACGTCACTGTCTTAGCGTTTGTCTTAGCATTTTCAAGAATACGACACAAATACCTGTGGTCACCGAGTTGCTCAGTGCCTTCCTCCCACCGGACAGAAATTTGGTATCTTTGACCAGTATCTCCTTGGCTCCCCTCTCACGCCCGACAGCCACTGCGTTACTGTACTTCTGTGAGCTTGACGTTTTTAGGTTCCACTAGAAGTGAGACCACGTGGTACTTGTCTTACTGCGCCTGGCTTGTTTCAGTCGGCATCCTGTCCCCCAGGCTCACCCATGGTATCAGAAACCACAGGTGTTCCTTTTTGTGACTGCATAGTATTCCACCGAGTGTCTTTGCCACCATCTCTTCACCCGTGCCTCTGTCAGTGGTGCTCATGAGGAGCACTGCAGCAGGAAGTGCACAGGTCTCTCAGCCTGGTCTCATTTCCTTTGGGTCTGCACCGGGAGCAGGATTTCTGGATCCTGTGCAGTTCTGTTTTTGTTTGAGCCCGCATGTGATGTTTAGGATGTTTGGTTCGGGTTGGGACTTTCTGAGTTCACTTGTACATGCTCCCCTGCTTGTCCTTATCCCTAGTGTTGTTGTTTGGTTTAGGGTCTAGCTTTGGCTGGTGCTGAGGTTTTTTACTCCTGTGGGGAGGCTCCCCGGGGTGCCCCTCACCCCCAGGCAGCTCTGAGGCAGTCGCCTTGCTGAGACTCAGAGCCTGTAACCACCCACACATGCTCTGGATCTTTTGACAGATGCTGGGTTTTCAGCAGCAGACAGAGAGGCCAGTCTGGAGCTCATTAAACTGGACATTTCCAGAACATTCCCTAACCTCTGCATTTTCCAGCAAGTAAGTGCTCATTTCTTTCTAGTGTGTTTTACTCACAGTAGTGCCCAGCTCCCTGTAGTATAACCAGGATCGAGCGGTGGAGTGGGCAGGCATAGGCTGGGTGTCACGCATGTAAAATCAGTGTGATGGACCCTTTCCAACAGGCACCACTGCTGGTGCTTTCACAGTGGCCTTGTCTTGCTCGTGGGCTCCTGTGTCAGAGCCTCTGCCGCTGGTGCGGCTGGACTCTTCTGTTCTCTGCCTGCCCTTGAGGTGGGATGTCAGGGCGCCCGTGCTGCGAGGCCCGGGGAGAGGATGCAGGCAGCACCACACATTCGTGTGGGAGGTGGGTGGAGAGCCGTGCTGTGTGTGGACGGCGGTCAGAGCAGGTGGAACCACCCCCATGGGTCATGGCGCTCAGGTGAGGGCTGTCGGCCAGGCGTGGGAGCCTCCGAGCGGGGCTGGGGAAGCCCTTCTGTTCTGAGCTTGCTCCTTCCCGTGCAGGCCGGTGGAGCTGCCGGGCCTCCTTCTGCAGTCGTCTTCACCTGGCCTGCCCTTACTGCTGCATGCGTACCCTTGTCCTTCGGGTGCCTGCACCAGCCTCCCTTCCCCTCTCCTATCCCTTTGCAGTCTCGGACCCTCCAGTCCAGTCCAGTCATCGTGCCGGGTTTCTAGCACTGAGCAAACAGTTTACAGTAAAGAATGGAGGAGTGGTTGGGGGCACAGACCGGCTGGAGGACAGTGTAGATGAGAAGAGGGGTGCGGGGGGAGCAGGACTCTGCCAGCACGTGGGTGGTGGCGGCACAGAGGAGCAGAGCTGTGACTCAGTGGGGCTGAGTGGGAGTCGGCTGTAGCGGGCAGGGGGGACCAGAGTAGGATTGCTCCACATGGGGGCTGGGCATCAGCAAGCCAGCTCGAGGGCAGTGCCAGCCCACACGGCAGGGGCCCCTGGATCCAAGGGCAGAGCTGCTGCCCGCCAGAGCGATCCTGAGTCACGCGTCCTACTTGAGGGCGCTGTGTCCTGCAGCTGGCCTGGTGTCCCAGTGCCCCACTTCCGGCCTTGTTCCTTGCTGCTGCAGCTGGCCCTCTGCCTGCTGGCCGGACCTGTGGCTGTGCCACCGTGCCCAGGTCTGGCCCAGGGCAGGCAAGGACCTCAGTGTCACCTGGTGGCGCTGTCACTCCCTCGTCTCCATTCCCCAGTCCAGCCAGACACTTTCCCATCTGGTCTTCAGGAACCTTTGCAAGAGGGGAGCTCCGCAGGGGCTGGGTGTTGGGCCTGGAGCCTGGGCCTGCCCGGTGCCGCTATGCCGCTATGGCCAGTGTGGGCGGGACGAGGGGGCCAGGCTGCAGACCCCGCCTCCCACAGACAGACAGACTTCAGCTCCTCTGTCCTCCCAGCCCAGGCTGCTTCCTGGCTTTCACCCCAAGAGGGCTTTCTCTGCCCCAGCCCCAAGCCTCCCACACCCAGCCAGGTGCAGCTCTCGTTGGCTCTGGACGCCTGGGAAGCTGCTGCCTAGAAAAGCTTTTACCTTTGACCTGAAGCAGGTGGGGTTTGAATCTAGGCTGCCCTCCTTCCTGCTGGCTTCATGGCCTCCAGCAGGCCACTGGAGGACCTTGCTCCTTATTTGCAGCTGCCTGCCATGCTACTTAATTTTTTAAAATGCTTTTGTGTCTAATTGAAATTAAAAGTCAGCTAATTCTGAGCAGAGGTTGAGGAGCCCTTTCATGTCAGACAGCCACGGAAGTTGGGGTGTGGTAGACCGAGGCTGCATGGCTTCAGGGAGTTAGGGTTCCTGATCTGCTGCACATTGTGGGATCTCAGCCCTGGCAGAAAGCAGTGTGGCAGCCTTCCTGATTAGCAGAGCTAAGAGCGAGGGAGGAATTTGGAAGAAGTGGCTTAAGGACAGGGGAGCAGGTAGGACTTTGCAGGCAGGTGCTCAGTGTGTGATGGCAGGGTTTTCTGTGTGGCCTGAGGTTCTGGACCCATGTGGCCTGGCCTCACCCTCACAGGGCCCTCAGGCTATGAAGTTCCAGCCGCACTGGAGGCCCAGTCTTTGCCCTCTGTGGCTCCTGTGTCCCCTGGAGCTGGAGGCTCTTCGGGTGCCTCGGGGGAGGGTGGCGGGAGCTCTGGGTTCTCTGTCGCAGGACCGGGGCAGGTGGCAGAGTTCCCCATAGTCTGTGGCGCTCACGAGTGGGTAGTAGTAGGCACAGTGGGCTGGGAAGGGAACTGAGATGCCCAAAGCAAGCTATGGGCTATGGAACAAGGCGCTGCCACTTGTGGGGCCAAAGTAAGGGTGATGGAATTAGAACCAGAAGCCTTCCTGGTTAACAGCAGGTGTCTGTAAGCAGAGCTCTGTGGTTTCCCATTCAGCCCCTCTAATGCTTAGCTTGGCACCTGGTTCTGTTCCTTCCCCGTGTGTTGCATTTTTTTCTTATCCTTCTATGATTTACAGGTGTTGTCTCTTTTAGTTGCTTTTTATTGTCTTTTTCTCTGTTTCTACTTAGACTTTCTATAGGTCAGAATGTGAAGGGCTGGCTCCTGGGCGTCCTCTGTAAACTGCCCGAGCTCCCTGTGGCGTGGCCTCCCGGTCACCCGCCAGGAATGCTCTTTATTCCTGTAATAACGCTGGGCACCCACGCAGGGCCGGTGGGTGTTTGACGAGCTCAGTGGGCACTCAGACTGGAATGTCTTCCAGCGTTCCCGCGGTGCTGCAAGTCGGCTCCAGCCTGTCCTCTCGTGCGGTTAATATTCTGGAAGCCCTTAAAGGGGCAAGTGGAAATCTTGGAGGATGGGAGTGCCAGGAGAGGGTCTGAAATAAAGCAGAGCTATTGGGACCTGAGGCGGAGAGGCTGTGTCCCAAACCGGATACAGAAAGGGAATGCGGGTCAGGAAGCAGGAGGGAAAGCAGGATGGGTGGCGGGGCCACAGGCAGCTCCGCAGACAGGAGCAGTCGCTCACCCGAGGTGCCCTGGCTCACCCGTTGGGTCACAGCAGGAGCCAGGTCAGGGATACTTGACGTGGGGCTCACCCCTGAGCCTGGAGCGTTTCCAGCGCAGCCTCGCAGGTTGGATCGCAGGCTTGCTTGCTAGCTTGGGCTGGGTGTTTCTTTATGAAATTGCATAATTAAATGCCGTGGCTGTGCAGTAGCAGTAGCATGAGACGCTGCCCTGTGCACTAACAGTACTCACGCGTGTGTCCATCCTTCCAGGGCGGCCCGTACCATGACATGTTGCACAGTATTTTGGGCGCTTATACTTGTTACCGGCCAGATGTGGGTTACGTAAGTGAAGTCTTTCAGTGTTTTCCAGCGTTGTCTGTGCAGAGTCCAGGACATCTTGGAGTCCAGTTGAATGCTTCCATCTTTCTCTTGAGGAGCTGAAGTCTCGCAGTAACTGGATTGACTCAGTTTCCTCCTGAAGAGATTGAGCTGCTCTGTGGCATTAATCACATCTTAGCTGGATGTGGTTTTTGTTTTTTTTCCGTGTGACTTCCCCGACATTAAATTTAAAAAGCCTTCAGCAGTAAACATTTAAAAAAGTGTGCTGCTGTTTTTGCTGCTTGGCAGATGTGTGTACGCGGTCTAACTTTCAGCTGCCAAGTGGGTTACTAAGGGTGGTGTTTTAAATGCAGAATTCCGCTCAGGGTTCCCACTGGGAGGGGCCGGGAGCGGAGGGTGGCGATGGGGCAGAAGGGGGCCCTGCTGGCGTGAGGGTGACAGCTGCTCTGACGCCTGTGGTGCAGTCAGTCAATGCCTCTCTCTCTCCCTCCGCAGGTACAGGGCATGTCCTTTATAGCCGCAGTGTTGATCTTGAACCTAGATACTGCAGATGCCTTTATCGCTTTTTCTAATCTCTTGAATAAACCCTGTCAAATGGCGTTCTTCCGAGTGGACCATGGCCTTGTGAGTATGCTCTGCGCATCTGCCCTGCCTAACGGTTGTCTTTGCAGGGAGTAAGGATGTTTCCGTTTGGGCACTGTACTCACCTTGAGTGTGGACAGGGGTGTGAGCACAGCGATGCGTTCCCTAGGGGCGCAGTCAGTGAGGGAGAATGGCGGCTTCGGCAGCTGTGTGCACTTCCTGTCACATGCACCACATGGCTTCCGGGAGGGCATCACGCAGCTGACCCCTGAGGCTGTGTGTGGGAGGAAGGAGGCCCTTGTGAGACTGAGCTCCATTGTTTACAAGAGGGCAGCGGCTGATTCAGTGCGCTGCTGTCCACGGTCTCGACCACACTGAAGGTTTGGAGGAGCTGGCGGTGCAGCCATGTGAAGAGCGGCACGCTCTGCATCGAGTCTTCTGCGTGGAATAGGTGGGGAAAGAGGCTCAGGAGGGAAGCGACTTGTCCAGGAGCATGTGCTGTGTGGGAGGGCTGAGATCACAGTGTGGAAGCTGGGGCTGACTTTTTCCAAGGGTCGGTAAAATAGACAGATACTCGTCACTGCGTCACGGCGTGGGTGTGTTTCGGTGGACAGCGTGGGGAGCTCTGTCCTCGGTCCCTGGGTGAGCACTTGCACACACGTTGCTTTGGTTATCAGGCAAGAGCTTACCTCCCTAAGAAAGACAACGGTCAGAATTTGAAAAGGGCTTCAGGTAAGACTCTTGCCCTTAGCGTAGCCTGTTGATACTCACTTTCCTTAGAGTATTCATTTCTGGTTGTAAATTTAGTCGTATTTTATTGTATGTAATAATATGACTTCCACCCAAATTCCTGCTAATATTGAAGATCCTGGTTTCTCTTTGGAAACTGTACTTAGTGGTCTTGGCTTACGGCTTTAAGGAAAAGTCCTAAAGGCACAACTCTGAATGGAACCTGGGCTTAGGCAAGCTCTCCCTGCAGCACCCCTGATCCAGGCCAGAGCACCCCGGTGTGGGCTGCCCTGCACGTCAAGCCAGTGTCCGCTGCAGGCCTGGCCCCTCTGTGACAGTCAGAAGTGTCCCCAGATAGTGCCGCATGTCCCCAGGGATGCAGGACACCCTCTGTGGGAACACTTGCTGCATGGCACAGCCCCTCCTGGGGAACAGTTTCTGTGCTCTGCTGCGGACTGCAGCGTGCAGATCCGGCCACCTCACAGTGTCACACCACTCCCTGCCTGGGTGTTTTGTTTCCTTTAAACACTTGCAGGATCCAGGAGGGTGCAGCAGGGCCTCTTCCTCCCCTCTCACTGTGCGCACTCACAGGTGTGCAGGTTTAAGCCTGGGCCCTGCCTCCAGGGTCAGAGCCATCACCCTCCAGGCAGGGCCAGGCCAGGGAAGAGCTGCTTGCTTTTTCATAACCATAGGCTCAGCCACTGCGGTGGGACAGGCGTGAAGTCAAGTCCCAGTGTGCCTGCTGGTGCTCTGTTCCTCATGGATGAGCCACTCACCGCCCTTTCTTTGCTGTAAAGTGAAGCAACGAGACAAGGCTGGCGATGCTACTGTGAGGACTAGAGGTGGTGTTCACTTAGGCCTTGTCGGGTGGAAACCATGAGCTGCCATTCAAAGGGAATGCTGTTAGTAAGAGGATAATTGTGTGAGATTCTCAGAATCTAAGCGCATCAGCTCTCATCAACACTCTGGAAAAACTTGTGCTGATAAATGGTTTATTTGTATATCTTATATTCTCTCCCTAGATGTTGACTTATTTTGCTGCATTTGAGGTATTCTTTGAAGAGAATTTGCCGAAATTATTTGCTCATTTCAAGAAAAACAACTTAACTCCAGACATCTACCTAATTGATTGGTAAGGCCGAGTTTTCTGAGCATTTTCTTGTCCCCTCCCGAGTCTCACATTGTCCTCGCTGCAGCTGCTTTCGGGGTTCATCTAAAGCCCTGTGTTCTGCTTTCTGGCTGCTCAGTGCCCTCATCCTCCAGGCTCCTGAGTGCTAACCTGTTCCTTTGCACCGTGGCTCCTTTCCAACTCCACCTGGGCCTCAGGCTCCCCCCAAGGGGGAGATGCTGCCCTGGATCCTTGTTTTCAGAGTGCTGTTTGTCCACCAGTAGTTGGGTTGCATGGCTGTTGGTATGTGCCCTGCCCTCTGCCAAGTGCTCGGATGGGTGGTGAGCAGGATGCCACACCTGCTTGTTGGGAACTTCTGTTTTGGTGCTCCTGCCCTGAAGTGTTACTGGGAACCTCTGCAGTAGGCTCCAGTCTCCTGCCCAGTGTGCAACACAGGCCTGAGGCAGAATTGAGAGAGACGGAACTAAGAGGCAGAAAGTGGGGCCCAGGACGACCAGTGCTGGTACGACTGACAAAGGTGCTGGCCAGTCCAAGCCATTCATTTTTATCGGTAATCTGTTGGGGTAAAGAGGAGCTGTGTACAAGGGTGGGGCTATGTGGGAGGATATGCAGTAGTGTGGTTTCCATGAAAATTAATGTAAACAGGGCTCATAAAAGACAAGAAAAAGCATTCTTGAATTAGGAACAGAATAGAGAAAAAAGACGGTCGTAATTAGAACATCATCCTTTAATCAAGTTTTATTTGTGAGAATGGGAATCTGGGTGTGAGTCACTCTGACTTCAGCATGTAGGCTTCAGCCAGACTCACTTCTCAAAACAAGCCAATTGTGGGGTTGACTTCACAGCCTGCTTTGGGCGCAATTAATATTGTGTTCTCCCGCACTTCTGCCTGGTGGGGAGGCCTTTGTCAGGAGAAGAGAGGGAAGGAGAGGCATGGACCAGTCCGAGGGTCAAAGTCCACAGAGAGAAGGTGGAAGCTTGAGCAGGCATGGCAGGGAGGAGCAGCCTGTGGGGCTCAAGGTTGCCCGGAGTAGAGAAGAGCTCTGCAGAGGTGTAGACAGAGCCCTCCCTGGGCTTTGACACCCACTCCCAGGGTGAACGTAGAGCCACTGTGTGCAGAGACCGTGGCTTGGGTTTTCCCCTCACCCTCTGCAGAGGCAGGAGCCTTCCAGAAGGTGGAGTCTTCATTATAGCTCCAAAGGGGTCCAGTCCCCAAGGAAGAGAGCATCCTTGTGTGGAACCTGGGGTTGTTGGCGCTCCTGGCTTCTGTCCTTTGCAGGGACATGGGTGTGGAGCTTGGAACTGTGGCTGAAGTTGTGGGCCATGGTCACTGTCGGATGGCAGGCTGTGGCCATGGGTGGCACATGGCTGGCCTGTCAGGCTGTCCTCAACCAATGATGCTTTTTCCACCCTGTTGGTTGTTTTCTAGTCCGGCCTCTTGCCAACCCCACTTTCGCACCTATTCTGTCCATTTGACCCTGTGGGTCCCAGGCTGGCAGCTGGGTCGTGTGGAGGGTGTTTGGGAGGGAGGGATCCAGACAGCCCTCCGCACCTGCCTGAGCACTTTGGGTGCTTCCAGGTTCTAGGAGGAAGTGAGTGGTGCTGTGAAAACCCTCCTCCCTGTGACCTGCAAAGGGCAGTCACGTGTGCACAGACTTAACACACATGTGCCAGGGACAGGAGTTCTGAAGCCGCTCTTACCCTACCCGGCATGATGGAGCATTCTGTGGTGTTCTCTCGGGGACCGCACTTGGCTCATACCTGACGCTGGGACGGGCACGGCCCAGAGGACAGTTCCTGTCCCCGTCCCAGCCTGCAGGTGGCTGTGAGTCTAGGGTGTCCCTGTGGATAGGAAGGGACTGAGACCTTCATGCTGCAGTGTCACTGGCAAGTCCCTGCCCCTGGACCTGCCTGCTGCAGGCCTGCCTTGTGCCTGATGAGCACAGGCCGCTGTGTGTGCAGGTCCAGTGCAGGGCGCAGGACTGGGCAAGCAGCAGGCTGTGGTGAGTGCTATGTAAGCTGCACTAAGCCCAGGAAACAAGCGCCCATGAGTTGGACTTTATTCGTCATTTATAGATGGCCGGGGGCTGCCAGTGAGGTACAGGCTCCAGCCAGAAGTAGGACCTGGGTGGAAGCAGAGACAGGAGCGAGCCTTGCCAGGCCCCACCCGGCAGCTGCCCACCTGGTTCCTGCCCACTTGGTTCCCTCGCAGTGCATGGAGGCTGTGTGCCTGTTTCTTGCACAGTGGAGTCCCTGGGCATGCAGTCAGCTGGTCTGGTTCTTGATCGGGCTTTAAGCTGCCTGAAGCCTCTCCTCACCATGAAGGCTGCGTGCCTGCTCAGTGTCTGCCTTGTGCTCAGAGTGCAGGAGATGTTTAACTGCGAGTCCCAGAGCTCCGGCCCCCTATGCCTGAGGGGACGCTCCTGGTCTCTCCCCAGTGTGGCTGGGGCCTCAGGGCTGGGCCATGAGCGTCCCGCGTGACAGGCACTCAGGTGGGTGGCTGCTGAGAGGATGGGCAGAAGAACCTGCTCGCCAAGCCCGCCATTCCGCCCACTCCAGGGTCACTAGCTTCCTGCTTCTGCAGGGCGAGAGCCCCAGGGGTGATCTGTCTGTGCTGGGCCCAGGTCAGGGTGCACCTCCCCTCAGGGCGAGGCTGCTGCCCAGCAGGACTCCCAGCCTGGAACCGGCCAACTCTGTGGGCCGCCCGCCTGCACAGCTCCTGCTGGTGGTGGCTTCCACTGCCTGGCTCAGCTTGGAGGGGCAGAACAGGGGCCCTGAGCCACCTTCATTCTGCTATGGGGTTTGGATACTTGCGGCTGTCAGGAACCCACATTTTGCCATCTTAACTTCTCAACGTTTTTTCCATGGCTATCCAGTGGCAGGATCATTTGGAGGCATAAGTGGGTTTTATAATAAATACCTGTGAATTAGTTAAAGCATCCAACAGTTCATTCCTTATCAAGATTGATGTGTTTTGAAATGATGTTTACCGATATTTAGAGAGCTGTTATATATGAGTTTCTTCTCAAAGGAGGTTTGGGGAGATGCCCATAGGGGTTTTGGTTTCTGTCCAGCCCACACACGAGTGGCTGGTGGCACTCAGCTTCTGGGAGACAGGTCTGTGCAGGACTCCTGGTTCTCCGGCACCCAGGGTATGAGGGCAGCAAACTGCACACAGTGCGCAGCCTGTTGGGTGCAGGCCAGGTGGGAGTCTGGGCTTGGCTTCTAAATTTGGACCGAGCCTTGGCCTAGGCCTCAGCTTTGTGCGATGCTGGTCTGGTGGGATGTTGGCTGCTGCCGAAGCCTCGGCTGAGCTAACCTGATCTGAGATTTCCCCATCCTTCCCAGCACACCTGCTCCGGCTCGGGAACTAAGGAAGGCCCAGGATGGGAGAGCTCTGGCCGGGAAAGGTGGGCGCGGAGGGGATGTGACGTCGTCTTGGGTAGTGGCTCCTCCCTGGGGAGGCCCCGCGGTGCTTTTGACTCTTTGGCTTTGAACTGAAGTCTGTTTTTCCTTGGCCTCCCTGTACTTGCAGTTCCTGGTCGGCAAGGTGGAGGTGAGATGGTGCCTCCCCTGGGGCTGCAGTGGGGGAATAGTGAGGACCACGAGCCACCGGCTGCAGCTGGGGCCGGGTGCTCTGCTGTGTGCACCCGGGGCTACTTGCTGGGAGACCTGAGAGTGCTCCTGCCTGCTCTTCCCCACAGTGCCCTGCTGCCCTGCTGCCCTGCTGCCGGACCAGGCCCAGGGTGGGCGTGACTAGATCAGTTTCTGGAGGCGGGGAAGGCTCCACAGGAAAACCAGCCCTTCCTCCGCACAGGGGCGCACTGAGCTCACCACCCTTATCTTTGTTAGTACGTCTCCCCTAGTTAATAAACACATTCCCACATACATAGCACACCTGGCTCCTTCCCTTTGAACTTACAAGTGCATTATACACAGTGGCTGGAGGAAGTGCACATTTCTTGGGAGAGGAATGTCCTTCAATTCTTATTGTGCAAGAGCATCGGCGGGGTGGGGAGGCATGTGCAGCCCGTCCCTGCCCCTGCGCACAGGGCTGAGGACGTGTGGGAAGGTGCCCTGTAGACGCAGCCCTCCTGTTCTGTTTGCTCTGCAGGCTCAGGACGGAGCCTGCCGCCCCTCCCAGGCTGTGTATTCCTGAGGTGGTTTCTGTGTCCCACACTTCTGAGTCCAGTTTTCATTTCACACAGCTGAAAGCTTGAAAGCCCTGGGTAATGGACAGTTCTCCTCTGAAGGGAGAGGAGAGGTCCCTGCCAGGGGCAGCCCAGGGTGGGAGCTGCTAGGGACAGAGCTCTGTGCTCCTGAGTTGACTGCAGGCAAGGGTGGAGGTCGGGAGTAGTTTGCCACAGCTCTGGCTCTCAGCAGGGCCTGGGGTTCTTGGGGGACCCTGACCCAAGGCTCGATGGATACAGGAGCAGAGGACTGTTGGGAGGCGAGGTACAGGGGACACTGGGCGGCCACGAGGACACAGGACAGAGCTGCCATCCACAGGCAAGGGGTGAGGCCTTGGGGAAGCCACTGTGCCTGCCTGCGCCTGGGTCGCTTGTGCGTGCTCCTGGAATCACGTTTCTGTGCCTCCTTCTTACTTCACGGAGCCCTGGGGGCAGGCATCCTGGCTTGTTAACCGTGTCACCCAGCTGCAGGGGGTGGATAGATGGCCATGAGCAAGCCGGTAGTGCTCCGGCCCGCCCACTGTTCAGCGTAAACCGTGCGGGCGCCCACTGACTCGGGTGGGGGTTCACAGTGCTTCCTGTGCACCCCCCTCAGTCTGAGCTCTCTGCCCTCCCCAGGATCTTCACCCTGTACAGCAAGTCCCTGCCCCTGGACCTGGCCTGCCGCATCTGGGACGTGTTCTGCCGGGATGGGGAGGAGTTCCTCTTCCGCACGGCCCTGGGTATCCTGAAGCTGTTCGAGGACATCCTGACCAGGATGGACTTCATCCACATCGCCCAGTTCCTGACCCGGCTGCCTGAGGACCTGCCGGCAGATGAGGTGTTCGTGGCCATCGCCACCGTGCAGATGCAGAGTCGGAACAAGAAGTGGGCACAGGTGAGCGGCTCCTGTCCCTCCTTCCTGGAGGATTGAGGGCCACTGAGCAGGGTGGTCCTCCCTCTGCCTCGGCCTGCTCCGAGGGTCTCCGCCAGCCGGAGGTGTGGGTGCGAAGGCAAAGCCCCTTTCTGCAGGGCACTGGCAACTTCTCCTCCCCTTAAAACGATGCCAGGGACTGGCTGAGCCCTGCTTAGGACAGGGCCCTTCGGCAGGAGCTGCTTGGCCCAGCCTATTGCTGATGGAGGGAGGCCAGCCCCTCACAGTCCCTCCCTTTTGTGCTCTGCGGTGGTTCCAGTGGCTGCGTGCATGAGCAGCTCTGGCTTAGGCCTTCCTCTCGAGTCCTCTGATGTCCCTTATAGTCCTGGCCCTGTGGAGTCAGTGGTGCTCTCTGGCTCCAGGCTTTACGTCCTGCAAGGGAAGCCCTGGCCCACCTCAGTCCTGTTCCTGCCTGTGCTTGGCCTCGCTGAGTCCTGGGCCCCAGTGGGCTGATACCTGTGGAGACTTGTGCCTTCGTCACACCAGGCAGTGCTGTCCTGCAGTCAGCGTTTCCGTTTGAGTCAGAGGATGTGTGAACTAGAACAGAACAGAGTAGCGAAGCCCTTCTCGTCCTCCAGCGTGAGGGACTGTGGTGCACAGCCCATTTCCTTTTAGCTGCGTGTGTGTGTGTGCGCACATGTGTGTGCGTGTGCACCTGTGTTCTCACGGGAGCCCAGGACAGTGTGACATCTGTAAATGTCTTTTCCAAACCACACGGGCCCTTTTAACAGAGGTGTATAGTGTTTTCACTCCAGAAGTTACTGTCAAACATCACTGTTCAGTTTGGACGTCAGTGGCTTTCTTTTGTGAGCCAGGATCCCAGGAAGGCCTCGTGATGGGCCAAAGGAAGAGAGAGGATGTGTGCTCCTCCTTTGCCCTTGTGCCCTGCCCACCCATCTGTGGAAGAACACAGGCTCTTTGTCCCGCAGCAGCCCTCTGTCTGGGCCCCCAAGCTCCCATAAACAGACCCCCGGCCTTCAACCCAACCAGGTGCTGGGTTGGTGCAAGATAGCTCCCTGTGCAGCGAGGCCATCTGTCCTGGCTGTTAGCAGACACCATAAGCTCCCCGTTTGGAAGTGCATGGTTCAGTGCCTTTCACCTCGGCCTCTGTCCGGCCACCCAGGCGTGTCCTGCTGCCCCTGTCCTCTTACACAGTGCTTGGTGTGGCTGCTGGGGTGTGGCCTTGGGTGACACCAGAAGTGCTCTGGGCGAGTTGTGAGTTACCTCAGCAGAGCTGTTACGAAGGTGCACACGGTGCAAATGGGAACATGGGCCTCGCTGGAAAATGAAGGTTTTAAGTTGCAGCAGCAGAGCCGGAGCCGAGCAGGGTCCCTCCGGCCCTGGGCCCGCGCGGGCTGTGGCTGTGCTGTGGATCCGGCCTCTCCCACCACCTCCATTCCGCGTGTGCCTACCAGGCCCAGGTCCCAGAGGGAGCTATCAGACCCCGGGCTGCTCTTTGCTTCCTTCATTTGAGGGGATGCGAAGTGGTGAGAGTGGACGAGGTTTACCCGAACAGTGGGGCTCTTTCTGAGAAGGGGCGAGGGGTGGAGGGGCAGAAGTCAGCCTGGCAGGGCGCGGGCAGTGGGGGTTTTGTGCAGTTGGATGGATCTCATGGGATTGGGGCCCACTCGGTTCTTAGGTTCTGGGTGGGAGCTTTTTCCAGACATGCAAGTGTTTCTACTTCTTTCGGGCAACGCATTGAAACTTACCAAAAGCGTTTCTGCTTTACTCTTGAGCGTTGGGGCTCGGCGTGGCATGGTGCCACCCAAATGCCTCTGCTTTAAAGCCAGACAGAGTTGAGTTCCCTCCTCGAAGTGGGCACTGCCACCTCAGACAGCTGTGCAGACAGTGCCGGCCCAGCAGCACCCCGAGCGTCTGTGTGGCATGAGCCGGGCTGCCATGCGGGGCCTCTGCTGTTGCCAGATCTGCCAGGCAGTCGCTGCACCGCCGGCCGTGTTAAATAGAGGTTTGAGGCAAGTGCCGTGAGAGCGGAGAAAGGGCGGTGGGAAGGCGCCTGGTGAGCTGACGTCCACCGCCAGGCCCAGGGCAGGGCCAGGAGTGCCCCCGGGCTGCCGGGTGGGGTTCCAGCCGTGGAGGGAGTCACCGAGGAGCGGTGTGGGTGCTGCCCACATCCAGAGATGGGAGAGGGAGATCGCTGTGCAGCTGGGCTGGGCCGGCCGGGGAGGCGGGAAGAGGTGGGGTGCTGGCAGTGCTGCCGTCTGTCCCTCCACCCCAGCTACCCCGGGTCTCCTCTGCTTCCAGGTGCTGGCAGCGCTGCAGAAGGACAGCCGGGAACAGGAGAAGGGCAGCCCGGCGCTCAGGCACTGAAGCTGCAGGCCCTTGCACTGCCCCAAGGCACATCCTGGTGGCGCCACTGTCTGCACCTGGCTGCGGAGCGAACAGGGGCTCTTGGAACCTTTGGTCCTGACCCTGACCCTGGAATTGGCCTTAAACAAACAAAACTAAAGAGCTTCAAAAGAATAAAACCCAGGCTTAGCCTTAAGCAGCTCCGTGGACCAGTGCCCTGGCATCGGCCGTGGCCAGCACTGTGCTTCCCACTTGGCTGAAGATGGGTCAGTGGCCGACCCCTCCCTCTCCTCTATGTCAGCAGAGTTCATTAAATTGTGGCGCTGTGATGCCAACTACTGGAAATATGTCACAATTTTCTTAGCCGGGTGCATGAGCAGTGTCACTTGGGAGGCCTGAGGTGTTGCCGGCCCTCGTTTTAGAAAAGAAAGGAATTGCTGGCTTGCTGGCGTAATTTCTGAGATAATCTCTTCAGAGGTGGAGGTCACGTTGAAAGCCTACGTACCAAAGACATCCTGAACGTGAGCCCACCGGCGCTGGCCTCAGCCTTGGCTGTACTCCTGGACTCAGATGAGCAGCAGACAGGAAGGCTGCCTGTGGCCTCAGTGGGAGGCTGGAGCGGGGGAGCTGCACAGAGAAGGCCACAGAAGAGGGCGGAGAGCCAGTGGCAGCCCCAGAGGAGGGGAGGGCAGAAGAGGATGAAGATTGTTCCCGTGGTGTGGCAGGTGCAGCCCTGGAAACACTGTCAGGCCGAGATCTCGCCCTGCGCCACCAGAAGGTCCCTCTCCGCCCGTCACCTGAGCGGCTGGATCTGTCCTAAGTGCCGTGCTCGAAATGATGCACATCACCAGCTGTGGTCAGGATGGAGGAGCAAGGCACCGCCAAGTGGTCCAGATGGTCTCGGCAAATTCTCCTCTCAGGACCGTCAGCCCTTTCTTGTTCTGAATTCATTGGCAAATGTTTTTGTTCTAGCTCTTCCTTGAGTATTTTGAGAACTTTGTATAAGAAATTTGATTATCCAGATTCACAGAAATGGGGTTTTCCACACACGCATCCAAAGGACAGCCCCATACTGTGGAAGTGGGTTCCCATGTGGTAACCCCGTCCGCTCTCGGGCATGTTGGTCCCTGGGGTGCAGGAGGCCTGGGTCGAGGCCATCATTTGCAAGTGCCTGTGTGGTCTGCACGCCACAGCTCTCCTCAGCCATACTTCCAGCCCCAGGGGAGACCCCTCGTGGTGACGGTGCAGCCTGTGGCTTGGGATGGCTGCAGACTTCACAGGTCTCTGCCTGCTGCCCCTAGTGGGACTCAGGCAGGTGGCCGAGCCATGGGCATCCCCATGCCCCATCCTACCGCACCTATATCCCTGCTCCTGGAATCTCCTCTCCCCAGCATCTCACTTGAGTTTCCCAGGAGGCTGCAGGGCATCACGGTACCACTTCTGCCTCAGCCAACCTGGAGGGGGTGCTGCCCTTAGACCCTGCCATTCCGGACATCAGGCCCGTGGCCTGCGGAGATGGGCTGCCCAGCCCTGCACTAGTCCTTCCTCACTGATGTGCTCGGTAGCATTCCATGTGTGGGCTTCCCGTCCTTCAGAAGGTGTATATATTTTCTTACTGTACATAGAGATGTTCCGCAAGCCCTACGAAGGTGGCGCACCCGGCCTTGGGCAGCCTGTTCCGAATGCCAGTTCCGAGTTCCCAGCCCTTCTCTTAGCGTTTCCTGCCCAGCTCTCTGACACAAAGATGTGGGTGTGCACTGCATTTCAGGCAGGACCCCGTGCCAGTCTGGAGCGCTGACCGCATCTGTAGTCCAGACCAGGCTTGGCGGCCTGTTAGGACTGCAGGAGTCGGGTGTGTCCCTGGACCCTGTGCGCAGAGCTGTGCTGCCCGGCGGTGGCCTGTGGGCTTTGTCCTCACCTTGAACGGATGCAGAGACGCTGCCCAAGGAGCCCGAGTCACTTCCTGCCCCTGCTTGGTGACCCTCGGACTCCAGGTCGGGGCTGCCCCTTTCCCTCCGCGGGTCCCTGAGGCCTTGTTTGGGGACTGTGCACCTCCAGGCTACTTTTGAAGAGTTTGCTAGTAGAAACTCCTGATAGCGCTTCCTACTACCGTGTTTTAATCGCTTGTACAGTGACCTTTAATCTTAGTAAAGTATCAAGGACTTTTTGAATTGTAAATATGTGGTTTTATTAAATAAAAGTCATGTAAATTGCTACATTCATTGTTGTTGGGTTGTAAAGTTGAACTCTCACTTTGAAGCATGGCAGGGATCTGACTGTGGCCCTTGAGCTGCCCGATGCCCTAGCGTCCATCGCTGGGCCTCTGAACAGAGGCAGTGCGGTCGGAGTCCAGAGCCGAGCCCTGCCCTGGGCCTCGAAGGGCTCTGGGCCCTGTCTGCGGCTTCTGCCCGACCGTGTCAACCACCTGGTCCTCGCAGGAATTGGTGCTTACTCCGTGCCCACCATCGGGCTAAGGATGCTTCGCATCCCCTCAGGAACCTCGCCAGAAGCCTGCAAGCAGGCAGCGAGGGTTGGCCCGGCCCGGCCCGGCGCCCTGGGCGTCTCTCGGGTGGTGGTGAGGGCGAGGCCAGGGGTCGTTGAGAGGCAGGCAGGTGAGTGTCGGCCCAAGTGTCTTTTCCTTCCAGGTTGCTCCTCAGGGAGGAGCCCTAAGAGGAGGTGGCTCTGTCACCTACAGGCACTGAGGACCAGGTGGGAGACTTTGCCCCAGTGCCACTCCCTGCAGTCTGGGTCCCAACAGGACCCTCAGCTGCCGGCCTGCCCCTGCCTCAGGCAAATGGCTTCCCTCTGACCAGCACCCTGTGTGGTGAGGTGGCATCTGACACGGTCACATTGCTGAACACTGGCTGCCTGTCCCAACCGTGCTGGACTCTGGGCCAGTGAACGTTTCATCTCCACAGCAGCTCTGTGGAAGACTCCTCATCCCTGCTTCCAAGAGAAGTGGTTTCTTAGGCTCCTATACCCCAAGGTGGCAGAGCTGTGGTCCAGACTCGGGATTGGGACTCCAGGGCACCCCATAACCCTGCCACCTTCCGCTTGCCTGGCCTTTGATTACATGCGCCTTTGGGGATATCATGGTGCCAAGTGTGCCTGGTGTCTCAGATGATACTTAGGCCCTGGCCTGCCTACCCAGGAACTTGGCCACACCGTAAAGTGCCCATGGACCTCAGAGGCCTGGAGCACAGCGTGCCGCCCTGCTGGGCCAGGACCCTGCAGGTGCTGAGCCTGTGGCGGGGGCTCTGGAGCAAGGCAGCGTCCTCCCTGAACATTACAACAAAACCAGTCATCCATGGCCGCGGGAGCCTCACGGTTTGTCTTGGTGGTGTTCCTCAGTTTCTCGCCCTGACCTGGAGGTGAGAACTGCGCCAACCAGAAGCAAACCCAAGCTGAGGGTGCAGCTTGGCTGGAGGCTGAGCACAAGGTGCAGCTCTGCCACCCTGGAGACTTTTCTGAGTCTCTAAGCCTCAGTTTCCTTTTCTTTAACCAAAGGTTCCAAGGGGACCCCAGTGGCTATGCACTAGTTTGTGAAGACTAAACAGAGATGAGGGCTTCTTGAACTGAACCACAAGAACCCAGAAACAAAAAGCCGGGCATGGTGACTATATCTCAGCACCCAAGAGGCAGAGGCAGGAGGATCACCAGGAGTTTGAGGCCAGCCCGGACTACATAGTGAGTTCAAGAGCAGTCTGAACTACACAGTGAGACCCTGTCAAAAAATATGCCCCTAAATCCCCTCAAAACAACCCAGAGCTATTGCCTTTGCCATGTAAACTTTGAGTGTCTTATTTAACTCTTGAATTTATTTATTTATTTTTTTCGGTATTAGGGATCAAACTTAGGGCCCTAGTGCTTGCCAGGCAGACCCAGCACCACTGAGCTAAATCCCTGGCCCCACTGAACTTATATTTTAAAAAATAAAAAGATTTCTCCTTAATTAAATACATGTCATTATATAAAATTTGGCAGAAGCACAAAAGCACAAAGAAATGAGTATGTTGACCCTTAGGCAAAGTGTTTTGTCTGAGGTCATCCTGGTTCCAACATCTCCGTACCATGACTTGTCTTCTAGATCCCTCCTGTACTGGTCACTGGCAGCCTTTGGGTGAGATGTTAGAAGGCTGGTCAGTTGAAAAAATTAAAAGCATTTCATGCTTGGCAGGGCACACTTGTGACCCCAGCACTGTGGGAGGTTGAAGCAGGAGAATCACAAATTCAAGCCCAACCCAGGCAATTCAACTTGGTGAGACCTTGTCTCGAAATAAAGGGGGGTGGGGCTTGTGCTTCTGGATTCGATTCCTATTACATTCATTCAATCTACAGGGGAACATAGCGTTGTTAAAATATGTGCATATTAGTCACTAGCTATTCAGAACTAGAGGATCTTTCCATTCCCAGTGTCTGGGGACTTCTCACTGCTGCTGTCACGGTGCCCTGATGTTATTTTATGGACGGGCACCCCATCTCAATGCCAAAACCCTAAATCATGGCTGCAGGGGAGTCATCCAGAGAGAAAGTGTGTTTTTCAAATGCAGAGGTAAGTCACCAAAACTAATTTCCGCTCACAAAGGAAGTGTTTCCCTGTCAGACCCCATACTCTTGGGCGAGGACAGCAGACAAGTCTCACTTTGCCCGAGGCCCTGCAGGAGCAGTGGCCCTCGTTGGGCTGTGCAGTTCCTGCTGGGCCCGACGTCCCCTTCCCCAGCAGCACCCCTGGGACTGCGAGTCTCGGCCGGCCGCTCCACTTCCCTTCCTTGGTGCCATCCTCTTTCTGCCTGTCACTATTTTCCAGTCCAGTGTAGGTCTTAGCAATGCCTGAAGGAGAAATGATGCTGGTGTCTGCTGTGTGGAGATTGCATAGAAAAGCGCAGGATGGACACACGGGGGCGGGCACAGGAAACTGGTGGCTGCTCCAGGACTTGTGGGTGGGGAGCAGGATCCCTCCAGCCCGCTCTCCATAGCCTCTGCTTCGAAGAACACTTTTTATCGTCCCTGGTGGTCTAGTGGTTAGGATTCAGCGCTCTCAAAGAACACTTTTTTTTTATACTGGGGAATCGAACTCAGGACTTTGCGATTGCAAGGCAGGCAGTGGCACCACGGAGCTACATCCCCAGCCCTCAAAGAGCACTTCTGTGCAGAAAACAGAAGAGATTGGCAGTGTACCAATGTATGAACTCAGCAACTTTAATTAATGCTTTCTGTGCTGGCTGCTGGCCAGGGTGAGGGACAAGCCTTTGGTTTTCGGGGACCTGGTCTTAGCTGGGCAAGACAGCCTGGGAGATGGTCGCTGTGGCTGATGGCCTCTGTGGGCTGTGGACAGCGGTGCAGTGGGACCTCAGGGATAAAGAGTGTTTGGGTCTGCGGATTCTTCCTCCAAGGTTATCTATCTCAAACAGTTTGTAAATGTGTCTCTCATGATTAAGTGCTCTCCCGTAATCTAATTAGAAAACCACATTAGGAGGTAATCAGCCCGAGTGTCTTCTAATTTTTTTTTCATGTCTTCTAATTAATTGCACCATCTCCAGCACGAGGTACTGTAATGAGGAAACAGTGACTGGCTGTGTAGTCCTTGCTGTAGGGCTCATTTGCTTTGCAGCCAAAAGCAACACCCATATCAGCAAACTTCTCTCACGTCTGCAATCGAAGGGGTCGCCTGTGCCTGGTTTTCAGGCTGGCCAGGGGAGTGTCCAGGGGGCCAACCACTGCCAGGTTGAAGTTGGCTGGAAACACACGTTTCCGCCAGTGGGCCCGAGAGCTAAAGGATGGCATTCCAGAGAAAGCCACTTGCGTGGTCCAGACCTGAGCACCGTGGCCAGTCTCACTGGGAAGCGTCCCAGGCAGCAGAATCGAGCTGCTTTTAGCCAGAGCCACAGGGAAAGCATTCTGTTTGCAGCGGTTTGGCATTTCACCTAGGCCTCGATGGCAGGGTAGAAGGCCAGTTCTAGTGAGAAAGGGAGAGTAGAAGCCAAGTCAGAGTTTTTCTTTCCCCTCATTGTGTGGTATCACAAAAAGTGTATTCAAACCATGGCATTAGAAAAGAACTGCACTTTCATTGACTTCAGAGAGAATACACTAGAAAATAAAATCATGTCAGCAAAAGACACAGTGCCAGTAACCTCACAGCTGGCCAAGCCACCTGCAGAGTGGGTTTCTGCCATTCTTTAAGTGTTCAGCACCAAAAGCAGGTCCTCTTTCTCATGACCCACTTCAGTGTGGGAACAGGAGGTGCTCTGTCCTGACCCCACACCCAGCTGAATTCAGGCTATCGTCTATGTTGGCAGCAGCCACTGCTCCGTGTTCTTTGCACCTGGTGGAACAATACAGTCACCATTTTGTTTTAAAAAATGACTGGAAAACAAAATGCCTTTGTGTGTGTGTGTGTGTGTGTGATCAGTGCATTTCCTCAGAGGATCCAGGAAAATGTGGACTTCCTACTGAAGACTGTTACTGAGGCAGAAACAGACATTACTGATTACTAAACTGAGCTTCCTCCAGTGAAAAGGAAGATGATAGAACACCAGCTCCTTTTCCTGTTGATCATCTCTTCTGTTTCTGCATTTTATTTAACAAACTTTTTTGTTTGTTTTGAGACAAGGTCTTGCTATGTAATTCAGGCTGGCCTCAAACTCACTGCAATCCTCCTGCCTCAGCCTCTTGAGGGCTGTGATCACCACCCCAGCTGTATCACCACTACCCGCTTCTGGATTTTTAAAAATCCATCCCAGTTCCGGTTACACACAAAGTAAGTGAGCTTCTAGTTGAGAGAGGGATTTAGGACTACGCAATTTAATAAGTACAAAGAGAATTTAATACACAGGAATTTTTCCGTACTCTGCCCACTGGTTCAGCTTTTAAAACCTCCTTACATGAAAAGTGAAGAAACAAAAATATCATCGCATCCCAATTTTAACCGGTCTCAAGGAATGGCAGCCACGGAGGGTAAAAGCGAATGAAGTTAAAGTTTACCCAGCCTGCACTGGCCGGTGTGGTCAGGAGGGGAGGAAGGCTCTGGCTTCTCTCATCTTCTGCTTCACACCTTTGCAGGACAGGGCGAGCCCAGCGTGGTGGCGCTTCAGGGACTCCAGGCGCTGAGTGAGCAGCTGGGTCTTGTCTGCCTTTTCCTCCAAGTCCCTGAGGAGCGACTCCTTGCCCAGCAGCCCGCACTTCTGATTCAGCTTGTGGTTGTCCACCCGCAGGCTGTCGCGGGCTTGCTTAGTCTTGGTCAAGATGTCCCTTCTCAAGGCCACCTGAGCCTCGATCCCCAAAAGCGCCATCTTTTTGCACGTGTTCTTCAGGTCCATGAAGTGCAGCTTTTCCTTCACGTGGGATATGATCTGCACGTTGTTGGTCACCTTGCCGCGCAGTTTCAGAACCTCCTCGTTCCGCTCCTCCGCCTTCTCATTGAAGGTTTGGTTCTCTATCTTCAGCTGCTCAAAATCAATGAGCAGTGGCCCTTCGGCCAAGTCCTCCTGGGCCCTCATCCTGGTTTCGAAATGCGCCAGGCTCTGCTTCAGCTGCACGTTCTCCAGCCGCACAGCGCTCATCTCCTTCTCCTTTTTGTCCTCCAGGGCCTGGATCTGCTCCACCTCTCGCAGAGCAGCCTGGCGCTCGCCCTGTGTGCGGCAGCTGCCCATGGCCTGCATCACCACCTGCTTCTTGAGAGCCTGGAAGCGGCGCCATTCCTCGTCCACCCTGGCCAGCTTCTCCTGGCACTGCTGCTCCAGCCGGCCCACCTCCTTCCGGTACCACTCCAGGTCGTCCAACTCCTGCTTTCTCAGCTCCTCCAGCGTGGCCAGGCAGTGCAAGTACGCCTGCTCTTTCTCGGGGGCCTCGGGCTCCGGGCCCTTGTCCGGCTGCTCCGCGGCAGAGTCCAGGCCCTTCTTCCTGCGCAGCGCCTCGCGGATCTTCTGCTGCAGGTACGTGTTGTAGCGCTGGTAGCGGGAGCGCTCCACCACCAGGGCGTGGTACTGCTCCAGGAGCTCGCTGCGCAGCTGTTGCTCCTGCAGCTTCCGCACCTCGTCCGACCACTCCTCGTCCGACCACTCCTCGTCCGACCACTCCTCGTCCTCCCCTCCGCCCAGGCTCCCGTGTATCCGCTCTTTCTCACCCTTCCGCCGGCGCCCTTCCCCACCCTGCCCCTCGTCCTCCTCGTCCTCCCCCTTCTCCTCCTCCTCACGTCTCGCTCTCTCTGTGGCAACCCGCCAGGCCGCTGCACTGTCCTCGCGGATCGTGGGCAGCTGCAGCGACGCTCGGAACGAGGCTTTCTTCTTCGCGGGCTCCTCCGCCTCGCCCTTCTCTCGGTCCACCGCCTCTTCTGAGCTGCCTTCAGAACGCGGCTTGGCCTCCTCGGGCTCGGATTCCAGCTCAGCCGGCCTCTCCGGCTCTCTGGGCTCGTCCTCGCCCGCAGTTTCGATGGCCGCCAGCTCTTCCGGGGCCGCGGGCTGTTCGTCTGCGGCGGCGCCTCGCTCGGAAGCCTCCACCTCCGCCTCCTCCGCCGCCGCAGCCTCCAGCTCCAGCTGTGGCTCCTCGGATTCGGTGGGGGTTTGGGGGCCGGGGCTGTCTTTGATCTCCGTTGGCCGCAAGGTCAGGCTGTCCTCATCTTCGCCTTCGCTCGCAGTGTCTCCAGCCTGCTCGGACGGGCTGTCCATCTTCGCCTTGTGGGCCCGGGCGGTGGACACCGGCTGCAAGCTGTTAGGTTTCCCGGGCAACCAGGGGCGCGCGCGGTGGAGCCTACGATTGGCCAGGCGCTAGCCCGACGCCCCGCCCTCTAGCCCCGCCTCCAGGCAGGAGCAGACCAATAGGAGGCCGCTATCGTGGGTGGGCGCGGTTGATTGGACACAGGTGCGAGCTCGCGCCTTGAGGGGCGTAGCACGCTCGTCTAACTTCCGCTCGGCGCTTCGGCCTCGC